GTAGAGCCTGAAAAATATACATATTGCAATGAACGACAAGCTTGTCGGCAACCATTGTTATCGATACGGACGCGGAAAATTGTCAACGGTACCTGGTCACGCCAGAAAGTGCAGATTGACTTTGTTGGTGCTTTGGCTGTCAACCGACAAAGGTCAATCTTTTCATGTTCAATTACTGACGATAATTCTTCATCATATCGGTAACAATGATTGCTGTTCTTTGTCGAATTCGACACAATATCATGCTATTTTCGAGCTCTACCGTGTCCTACTTCGGCACGACTTTCCCCAGTACAACTACCATCGATTTACTGCTCCTGCGATAACAATTTACTTGTTATCTGCGACTGCGCAATTTTACTGTTCTTCGTCAACGAGCTTTACTTTTCTTCATTTTATTGTTGCAACAATACAATAATTAATTGTCACGTATATTTAAAGTATTGCCGATGTGACTGTCTTCGCGCTTTCACTTCACTCTTACTCTGAATGCTCGTACTATCCGCTAACAGTTTGGAGTAATGTTCATTAACGGCTCGTAACTATTCATGCTATGTCTGATTCGATATCCGGCTGCCTATGGCTATGCAACGACATCATCTTCTGTCACGTATTGATAACAGTGGTTCTGATGGTGCGCTTATTCAGCATGCATTTCCCCAAAACTGGCTTAACGCCGACGCCGCTATAAACTGAAGGCAATGCTGCTATGATCGTCATCTCGAGGACCTACGAAACATGGTCACCGTAGATATTACAGAGATTCTGCTGGCTGACCGGTCTCGTGCTTGAACTAACGGTGGCGATATTGTCTCGTTTCATGAATTTTACCGAATTTTCATTGCCCCGGAAAACTGTGCGGCTGACACTAAACGACTGTTAAGTCGCATTGATCAATCGTCGTCGCCGACAGTGCACGGCTTGTGTTTGGTTATAACAAATGGACCTGCGTAGTCTGCGCCATGCCAATATATAACACCGTTCGTTCAGCACAAAATTATGAATACTGACACGGCAAAAGGCTGTGCGATAGATTGTGTCGGCACGAATACAGACTGACCAACTGTTTTAGCACGATAACGCGGCATTGTCATCTTTGTTTTTGCTGTGACTCTTGTGCTATATGCTGCCCTTGTCGACGCACCGTCTTTGAACATTACGGCTGCTATGATGTTGAAGTGTCCAGCAACATACGGCGCCTTGACTGATGCATCTGTCTTTGGCAAGCCAACTTTGCAATGACTCAAATGCTTATGCAAATGATCACTTCTCCATAATGTCCGGGCGGAAGCTGGTAGACGGGCCTATATTGTCACAAAGCTATTAACAAGCGTATGACCGGCAACTGTGCCGCCTTTAGTCGAGGCAGACCAGCATCAACAGGTGACAGGCATGAATACGGTTTTATATGATGGGTACTGGTGCAGGGAATTTCAACACCTTCTGTGCAACCTTTCTTCTTTGAACATCCCAAACCTCCGCTGAATAGTGACGGAGAATGAGGATAATTCTGACTGACTAGATGGTACTGAACGCAATAACCGGTTTGGTGAAGATCATGGCCGTATTATGCATGATGTGGACCGATTGATGAGAAGTAATAATGTGGCAATGATTTGAATCAATGCGTGGAAATAGTAATAATAAGGTTCCACCGACGCTCTAATATATGAAGGTGTCATATATCATCCCCTTGATTTCATAAGGTATTGACGTCTTCGATCGACGGTGAACAAAAGATATTGATGGTGGTGATTTCTGACCCCAGCTTTCTGGCATTTCATTAGCCGAATCGCATTGACAACTTACATGAGTTTTCTAAAGAGACGGAACATCTGCACCGAAGCAATGGCTGTGACTGGACTGTTCATGTACGTGATTCGTGGTTGGGACAAAATGTATGCTGTTGCATCACCGGAAGTGAATACTGAAATATACATGACGATGAAACATGACATTGACATAAATCTCGAGAGGTAACGATGGCGGAGATATTCATCTGTTGCGGTTGATGATTTCGCCTGTTGCGTTTATGACCGAATCGGCACGCGATACGGTTACTGTGAAGAATAACGATCATCCAACTGACGATAAGGATCGGAAGTTAACAAAATCATGGTGTTCGATGATAAGGCGAATAACGTTAAAATTGCTGTATATTCGTACGATGATCGTTGGTGACATATCTACGGCAAGGAACTATACGAGGATTGACTTTCCTTGGTTGCAATACCGCGATCGAACAGCAAACAGGCGCTGTTTTATCTTATCTATCTATGAGAGTGACTTAAATATTATCTTTTCTTGGTACTATCGTAGTGATAACATACTTCCGTTAAATTATCGAAAGCAAATGTCTTATGGTCATGTTTTCCCATGATTGAAGACATCGTATTTCAGGCCGAACATCGGCTTATACATATTTTGTACGATGCTGCTTCGTCAAGATATTCGCATGTCTCGGCCTTTATATAACGCATTACGGGCTTCAAAACCATTTTCAGTAACGATTATATTGGCACTTTTTAAAACGAACGAACTGCCATGACTGGCTTTCACCGGTTCATTGTGCACGTAACGAATGGCATTATTTGCTGTAATCACCATCGTATCTCGATGGCCGAAGACTCCGTCATAATTATTGAACGCCCATTTTATCATGCGCTCTGGCTTACAGATTGCGGTTGTAATAGGGTTATGTGCAATATCTTGATCGAAAATACTAAACCAGTAAAATGATTTTGGCCGACCACATGTGAAGTTGGACTTGTGTCGATGAACGGTTGAGTTGAGGTTAATCAAATATAATGCGTCATTAAACAAATATGTCGAAACCAACTGCCGACGACGTCGGGCTGGCTGGCGACGTCACTGGCCGATGTTGTGGCGCGACGATATAGAGGCTGTAACCAGTGTTGACGATATTCCGGTGGCGCAACGTCAGGGCTGGCGACCGAACTGGCTGGCTAACGTCTGGAGTTAACGGCTTGATGTTACAACGACATCACTGGGGAAACAACAACCGGTGTTACAACTGGCGGCGTCTCGAGCTGGCGCAACAGTGGTACAACTGGCGGCATTCTTTTCAACCGGTGTTAACGGCATTATTGTACGGCTGGCGTCGCGACCGAATGTTGCTGATGTAACAACCAGTGGCGTCGGGGCTAACGGCTTTAATATTCACAATGGCACGACGTCTGGGCACAACGACGAGTATTTTAACAACTGGCGTCTTAGTGTTACAACGTTTCTGAACCCGATAATCTGTTGGCACGACCGGTGTTGCAACAACGACGTCTTGGAACGACTTTATTATTTTAACGGCGTCGGGTAACCGATTAACAATGTTACGACAACAACGTCATGGCAACGGCGATATGGAGAATAACGACCGATGTTACAATATCGGGTATTACGGCGTCGCTGTTTGTTTCGGTATTTTATTTTATTACGTGTGACAGTGTGCGGCAAATGCTGGAACCGGTATTTGGCTAACGTCTGGGCTGGCCGGTAATTTTGGCAACGTCTGGAACAACAACCGATATTGGCGACTTTACATTTAACGTCATTGCGACCGATGTCGGGCTGGCAACCGGTAACGACCGATGCAACAACGACGAGATAATTAATGCGTCTGGTGGCGCCGGTGTTACGGCGCAACCGCGATAACGGGGCTGGCGACTGGTGTTACGGCTGGCGTCTGAACTGGCGACGATATTTATTGGCGGCGTCTCAGGGCTGGCTTTGGTGTTACGTTTTAACGGCGTCTGGAGGTACAACGACTTCAATGTTACGGCTGGCATCTTTCGAACAACGACCGATGTTACGGCTTTAACGACGTCATGATGTTACGGCTGGCAACGTCTGTTAACGACTTCGGCTGCAACGATATGGGCTGACTTACCTGTTTAACCTGACTTTTCGGGGCTGGCGCTTTAACCAGTGTTGACCACATCTGGAACGGCGACCGATCATTACAATGGCGCATCTGGAGGCGCAACGACCGGTTTCGGAACGACGCTGGCGTCATTAACGACTTCAGTATTTTAACAACAACGTCTGGTGCAACCGATGAGTTTTAACAACGCATCTTGAACTGGCTGGCATCTCGGAACAACGACCGATATTTTAATGGCGACGTCTGAAGACGCAACGACTTGTATTACTGGCACAACGACGTCGAACAACCGAATATTACAACTGGCGTCTGGAAATTTAACAACCAGTCGGTAACAACGTCTGGAAGGACGATATTTGGCTGACGACGTCTACGGAACAACCGAATATTTTATTGGCATCTTTCGGTAACAACCGAATGTTTACAACAACGGCGTCCCCATTTGGCACAACCGGTCGATTACCACAACATCACTGGAACGACCGATATTTAACAACTGGCATCTGGAACAACGTGGTTAACGTTCTTCCTGACATCTGTGAATATTTTGAACGTCGGTACAGTCGTACTGACGGCGTCTCAATTGGCTTTAACCAGTCGTTAACGGCGGAACTGTACAACATCTGAACTGGCGACTGGTGTTACAACAGCGTCTGGAGACGCTGAATAATGCAACAACAACGTCGGAACAACCGATGAGTTCTCCATCTGGAATTTTGGCGACTGGTGTTACGACAACCGTCTTTGACCGGTGGCATCTGGAACAACCGGTATTTTAACGATCGGGTAACAACCGGTGTTAACAACGTCTGGAATTGGCGGTTGAAATATTTTAACGACGTCTGAGCAACAACCGAATGTTTCGGCTGGCATCTTTCGGAACAACAACCGGTCGACAACGATCTTCCCGATGTTTAACAACGTCTGGAGGGCTGTTTTGACCGGTATTTTAACGACGTCTGTTTTAACGACCGGTGTTACGGCTTACAACATCGTAACCGATATTCGACGTCTGGAGATAACAACCGAATGATTTTAACAACAACGTCTGGAAACAACGACGATATTTGCGATATGGTTAACGACCGATCGACATACCAACCTGGCGTCTGGAACGGTGACACGGCTGGCATCGCGGAACAACAACCAGTGGCACAATACGACACTGGAACAACAACCGATGTTCTGGAACAACCAGTGTTTGTCGACGTCTTAACCAGTGTTAATGGAACAACAACCGGTGTTGCTGGCGACATCTCGTTTCTTTCCGGTGATTTTAACGACATCTGTTAACCGATGTTGCGACGTCATAATTTAACGGCCGATGTTTACGACGGCGTCAAAGGAATTGAATAATGCAACAGCGAAAATACGGTATTATGCTGCTGTACGACGATATCCGCGTGTTTTTAACGGCCCGACAATATACGAGCGCTGGAAGAACAGACGTAAGATTGACTCGGAGAAATCTTCGATTATCGAAATTTTCAATAATGAACAACTTTATATCGGCAACTGGCTGACAACCGGCAATGGCGTCGTGTTTTAACGACAACGCTAACCGGTGGAACAACTTCGAGGAACTTTACAACCGGTGTTTGCAACCAGCGATATTACAATTATCTTCATTTGTATCGCAAACTATAGTTTGAAAATGAATTAATGATTGACTGTTCTCAAGTTGACAAAGAAATGAATGATGATAAATAAAGGGGGTATATTGTTTGATTATGTTAACCATGTCATCTTATACTGTTTCTTTATGATGTTGATGAGGATGACGATTGATTTATTGACGACCTCTTTCTTATCACTGGATGGTGGTTTTATTTCGTACGAGCGCCTGCCAGTATTAACTGACCGTTGAAGCACCGTAATGAAGCGTCTTCTTATCGACGAATTGAAATGACAGGAAATGTCCTGCGTAAACTAACTTCGGCGCATTATACAACGAATTGAAGACGTTTAAATTTACGTTGTGACTGCGCTAACGTAAAGGAACGACATCAACGTCAACCTACTACGAATGCATCCGGTGTTGAAAGGATGTTTTGAAATAACTGGGAATGTTTTCGACATTTGCGTTTCTGAAACAGCGGTAAGATCGTTCTATGCTGACGACCGACTTTGCGATAATCTTCGGCCCTTCACAGCGCTTTTGATGACTATCGAAAACATATGGTGCTCAGTGTGATGAAACGGACTTCAATACATATAATTGGGGTTTGACAATGCTACGAAATCGTCAAATCTGGCAAACACGAACGTTTATTTCAAACATGACATGATGCATCGATCAATGTCCCCATTATAAAAACGTCTGGTTGTTTGATTGAATAACTTATACGGCCAATCTAGGCTAACGTTCGGCTCACAGATCGTATTGCGGACTTGTTGTTGGATATTGTTTGGTGTAGAGACCGTGATCGACTCTCTTCTTCAGGGCGCTTGTCTTCGGCGTTGTTTCAACGAGAGTACCGGATGTTTTCGAACGGCAATGACTGGCGACTACCAAAACGGCAACGTTACGTCCACGGGTATTTGGCAAATGAAAACTCGTCGCACAAAGTGACTTGCTCCATTGTGGCTTTGAACTGACGGCGTCATTCACCTCGCTTTTTGAAGGAAATGTCCGGTGTCGACACCGGCGAAGAAGAAGGTATGCAATGATGACAAAACTTCGTGTTCAGGCCCACGCGTCCCCTCACTCGTTTGTGGTGGGCTATGTTTTCAGAAAAAGGCGGCATAATGTTCGACAATTTCTGTGTTAACTGTAAAGGTATGTTGTCGTTGCTAGTCGGCGAATGCAAACTGACGCACAAGCTGTACAGGCTGATAATTGAAAGGCAATTACTCGGGCTATTCGATATACTTCAGTGATTAGCGGCAATATTGAGTTGAAATGGTAATTTATTGCTATGGCTTTGTTTGCGGTGGAAGGCGTGGGCTCAGTGCGGCATTTATCTGAGCCTGTCACGAAATTCTGGTTTTGAACCAACCTGTATTTCTGCTGTCGAGGTAGAACAACTTGTCATTGATTTCGAAGGTCTGCGCTGTCAATCTGTGACTGAATATGACGGACGGGTTGCGCTGCTGTATTCCGTGACTTCTTCAAACATCTGTAAAAACGTAAGGGCAAAAGGCTGAAATAAAATATTCCGGCGTATCGCGGCGTACCAGAAGCAGGCTTCGCACATTGTACGGCATATTAACCCGAACGGTATTTAGCACAATAACTGAGCTACCCACCGCCACAATCATGTGTTCCGAGTGGTAGATGGTGATGCTATGAAGCTTGCTTAGCGTGACAGATGATTTGTCGGCCTCAATATTGAGCGTCGTGGCTGTTGGCGGTTTGTGGCTTTGTCGCGATACGCTTTCGAGAACATCATCACCACGGCGGCGGTGAAGTCGTGCTGAATCTGGATCTTCTTAAATATTAACGCCATAAGCTTTGGGACTTCTTCAAGCCTAATAATGTTTGCCAAAGGACTGCGTAGTGCGATGGCGTAAAGGCATGTGGGGCGTTGATGCTATACTACTGCTTGTTTTGTCTGTATTGTCTTTGTGCTATGGGCAAACTTCGCTGGCTCGGTGTTGTCGCCTTGATACTGCCATGTCGACTTTGGTGACTAATGACATCTTTGCGTTATTGATCATTTGAACGTATCTTACGCTTTTGTTCTTGTTTATTCCGACGGTGTTGACCGAAATATGCCGGTTAACGCGTTTTTAGATGACATGTTGCACGGTCATCGTCACCGTGATGCGGCGACATTACTGCTGACCATGTCGGCTTTAGCTGAGGACAATCTTCGGCATTGACAACCGGCGATGACGAACGCGTTAGTGTCGACGATATTGGTCAACGGCAATCGGGTGGCCTCGGTAATGCTCTGTACTTGCTGCCGCTGCTGCCAACTTTAGCTATAATCGTCACCGTCATCTGCCACTATTCTACCGTACTACCATTTCTCTGATTACTACCCTACTACCCTTTACTGCTATACTGCTACCGCTACTGCTACTACCTGCCTACTACCGCCTTACGCTACTCTACTACTACTACTGCTACTGCTACTACGGCCTCTTTCGAACTTCCTGCGAACAACAAACTTTGGTTGCTTCGCGTATTACAAATCTATCGCTTTGAGCGTGGAAAAGTTGTGCAGACATAACGTTATTCGGCGTGTTAATGAAACCAGGATTGATATGAAATATGCCGGCTGTTGGTTGTGTAATCGTGGTATGAGGAGTTGGTATCGCGTCTGTTCGATTCTGAAGACAAAACGTTGCGGACGGACTGGGCTTTCGTATCATCAAAAGGCGCTTCAGTGGTCGCCGGCAGAGGTTACTACGGTCGATATAAGGCGTTGGTTTGAAGGCGCCAGTGGCACATGTTACCGCTGAATTTTCATGATGATAATCGGGCTTGTCTCAATAGCTCGTCGCGAATCGATGGACAATGCTGAAACAAACGCTCATTTGAACATGTTTTGCGGAACGTTGGGAAGTAGTATGTTGATCACAGCTTTGGTCTGGCTTTCCACCGAGCATGTTTGAATTCTGTCTAAGGAGGACGATATTTAATGAGGACCGACCGAATAATTGATTTGAATGAAAGCTGGATATTACTGGTTGCAACTGCTGGGCTGAAAGTAATGGAAAATGTTAACGTTTGTTTCGATTTTGGTCTGACATCTCTAAAGCGACTGTTGATTCTTCGACGTTTCACGATGTCTCGTTAGTTCGGAAGCCATTTCACGGCCTCATATGCCGCCAATGCGCACGGCCGGTCTGGCGGCATATATAAACTTGGTGACGGTGTGTTTGAGAGGAGACAAAGGTTTAACAATGGCGCGTAGGCTGGAGGCTGTTGTAACAGCGGAAGTACGTATTGCAGATGTCTTGCGTATGGCGTGATGAAGTGTTTGTTTCAGAACTGACGTATGACCGTCGGAACAATACGTCGTTGGCCATCGGTGGCCATCCGGTGCAGCCATCCTGGCGGGTAGAAGTCGTAATGCTGGTATGTGTTGTGGTTCGGTAATGAAGATGTTTGTTGGCGTCGGTTTACGGTGTTTGTACTGTTTGTACTTGGTGAGGCGCGCATCGGTTTCGTACTGTTGGTTAACAAAAGAGCAGATGTGATTGTATTCTCCGGATTCGAGATGTTATGCGGGATTCTGTGTGCGTAGCGTGTCGGTGGTAGTGGTTTTAACGAACGGTAAAGATGAGGATACAACCTAGCAATAATACTACTAAGAAGAAGTGCGGTATATTATCGACATCATTACAGGAACAACTCAATGTGAACAAAACGATCTGATGAAGAACAAATCCGCAATCGAAAATGGCGGCGACCTAATCGGAAAGCTACGGATGGTGACCGGTAAGGTCATCGGTATTAATCATGATATACTGAAGAACTCACCAACCCTCGAATATAATCTAAAGAAATCATTAACTGAATGAATGATCGGCGATGAAGCTGATTTTCTGTAAAACTTCGTAGATAGATGATGATATCTGATGATGATGCGGTTTAGAACCGGCTAATGAAATGCTTTCGGCTGAAGAAATTAACAACCAATGAAGATTTGTTCCTACCGGTTATTGTGCTGAAACGATGTTCAGTGAAGATGATAAATCGACTGTTTGATATAACGAATTGACTGAGTTCCTGTCATCTTTCGACTGATGGTACCATCTTGACGACAAAGATACTTACGATGACTTTACACGATCAATGGGACACCGGTTACACCGATAGCATCTCACTAACAATATACGGTCCCATGAATACAAATCCGGTGAACGACAACCCTTCGGCTGGAAAGAGATGAACCTGGTCAAAGATTGATGAACTGTCATTTAGTGATTAACTATAACTTTATGAAGCCAATGTTTGATCGAGTCGCACAGTACGAACACGAACTTACGGTACCGCTACGCGACGATTATCGCTGTTAATGTAACTCTTCGCTAACTCAATAACCGAAGGAATGGATGTAAATGCGTTATATTCTTGACCGTTATTCGTCTATTCTTTCTCGTTTATACGCTATGCGGAAAGCATTCAATTGCGGGATTTCCGTGATCGGTATCGGCGATTCTGCCGGCTTAATACTGA